TCGAGATCACCTGTGGGTCCCGAATCATTATCATTCTCACCGTCAACTGGACCACAGTCTTCGGACGCATGGTGCACTCTGCTGTATTGTGGCGATAGCACTCGCATCCTCACCCCAAAGATAATTGGCTCGGCGGACGGGGATCATCGAGATCACCTGTGGGTCCCGAATCATTATCATTCTCACCGTCAACTGGACCACAGTCTTCGGACGCATTGTGCACTCTGCTCTATTGTGGTTCCAGCAACCTCTCTCTCCATCCCAAATGACTAGCAGAAAGAATACATAAACAAAAACACTTCTTGTCGCCTACGGTACGACTAGCAAACCAGGGACAATAATTATAAAAAGGTGTGCATGTGTGAGAGAAACAAAATAGAATATTAAGGATACCTAGTCTGTAACTTATAGGACAATATATCATTATTTTTTTATTTCAAAAACTCCAGTGTCTAATTGTTTCTGAAGACGCCTGCCCAGTGCACAAACCCCACAAAAAGTCTCGTGATTCCTAACACTGAAAAATCACGAAACGTCTCAGTATACGTCAATATCTAGACGAAGATACAATAGATACAACTCGATAGAAAACTTACTAAACTAAAAGAATTCAATGTTTCAACTCTACACCACTCAATTCTCAAGTAATTTCATCAAAACATCAAGTGATTTCACAACAGTAACGTCATGCCAGTAACAATCGTGGTGAGAAAGTCACGTGTTACGATCACGCCAGTAGCACCTTTTTTTTTAAAAACATATACAGAATTATTTAGATCATTAATTTAGAATTACAATAATGACTGGAGCACATTGAAAACATTCATGAATTGAATTACATTTCAAATGTTTTAAATTACATTTAAATGTTACTTCTATACTATTCGAATATCACTTTACATGGTAATATATTAGTTTACGAAGAATATTATAATGTAAATAAGATTGCTGGCTGTATAATATGACAGCAGATGATTCAAATTTTCTTAAGAGTCCCAATTCTGTGTAAGTTGCTGTGGAATCAATATTGCCTCGTGGCTTTTCAATGAAAGATGATCATTTAGAAGATTCCATAAATTTGCTGATCGCGTGTTGTAAATTACCTATTTGGTGGTACGATTTTAGGGCCTATTCGACATAAAATTAACACAAAAACTGTAAATGATATATCAAATTATTATAAAATATACGATTGAATACTATGAAAATATACTTGCAGATTATTTGACTCAGCGTTCGACGTGCTGGCAATCGTGTCTCGGACGACAAAGGGACGAGTGATATCCACGATATAGCTGAGATGCCTGCCGATATTGGCAACAGTGTATAGAGGAGACATATGTATAATAGTAGATGAACATGCATCTATTAACTATTTGAAATAGTATCGGTATGGTAGTGCGCGTTTCATATTTTATTAAAAATAACCTCAATTGTACAGGAAAAAGTGCCGACATACAATTATTTATTCCAAAAACGAATGAAAATGTTTTTACGCCTATGAGCAAGCGTAGCTTACGAATTTTCGTGATGAAAAATAAAAAATATATACGCGTCGACGAGTACAAATATAAATTAAATTTGAATGTTTTTGCAGTGATAAATATCAACAAGGAAACACAATTTAGTTCATCGATCATTAACGTTATACTTACCATACTGGACTATGTAAGCGTATCAGATAAGCAATACGTTTAGACTTACTGCCCTGCCTACGTAAGAAGAGATAGGTAGGCAGTCAGAGACAATGATCAGAACTGAGAGATTTTATTGTATGGCAGAACAAAATTACCGACAGGAGATTGTCCTTAATTTATAATATATGTATAATAAAAAATTTCTTCTAGGGATATTTTATGTCCATCATTTATATTTCAGCAGTATCCACAGTATTATTTCAAAAATCATGATAACGGTGCACAACATAATTCCGGACAAGTAAAGCACAAATATTGACTGCAGTTGTTTCAATGTTAACTTTTGCATTTTCACGTCATTTCCATGCCTGTTATGGGGAATAATATTGCTTATTTTACTATTCCACGAGTCCATTAATCCAAATTCCAGCATGCCTCTCATAATACGATTTAATTCGTGAGTCACTGCGGAACCTTTCCAAACAAATGCTACTGCATGGTACGATAGAATACATTCGTCGAACGAATAGAAATGCACGTCTTTGCCGGATAAGGTTAAATTCCGCTTATAGTACTCCATGGTGGAAAGGTGTCTGATATAGGCTAAATCTTTTTTATGCTTAATCCTATCCAGTGCACTTGCAACGTCAGGGACAATTTCGTAATTCCTTATCAGACAAGGTACAAGGGGACTTTCGTCCTGCTGATTTTGTAAAATAGACAGGATACTTTTAGTCCCTCCGGTGGTCAAGCCTGATCGAACAATATCTTCGTTGTTCTTTATCAGCTGGACATTATTCCTCACGGTCAATATGGAGGCTAAAGACGTCCTGTACGCCACTGTCAGTACAATTGCGTAAAAAACATAAGATATACAGTAGATCTTTCCTGGCCGATCAGGTGGTACACGGTGAAGTGGAATTCCAAAGGTGGAGCATATTATGTCTGATGCGACACCAATATAGGTATGTCTTTTTATGTTATCTGAAAATGAAGAATGTCAAAATATTGGATAATATATGTATAATATATGTGATGGTACTATCTTACTTGGATTGATTCTAGGTATGTTATAGATGAAGACGCAACTGAATGTAATTAACAACACGACGGCGATCCATAAATATATACCAAATTCTGAATACAGGATATCTTCTGTGGAAGTTGTTATCATTGGAGTTGTCCACACTATACACTGATAACTGTAACTTATTGTGAAATCGCTGTATTTCTGCCTGGTCACAGTTGGCCGCAATTGTCCAAACGCTATGAGAGACTTTTTATTTGCAATTTCACCAAGCAGACCAACAATGGTATTATTCACTACGCCTTCCCAGTCCCGTATCTTAGGATACTTAACTAAAGCAGTGAAATTGAGTTCTTCGGCAAATGTTAAAATTAAATTTCCCTCAGGACCACCTGAAAATAGGACATTGTGAATAGGAGGTTTTGTCTAATTCTTTCTTCAATTTGTCGAACGTTTAGTATGTAGTTTACCTAAAACCTCTAGCGTGCCATCAGGATTCTCATGAAAGTTGATGGTATCTTCCAAGGGCATCGTCGAAATAGGGACTGGACACTTGTTAAAATTTCGCGGAAAATGGTCATCATAATAATACGTTTTAAGTCCCTTATCAGAAGCCCAAGCATATGAAACTCTTACCTTCGTCTTGCAACTCTTTGTGAAAGGATACATTTGGAATGCTTTGAATACGTTGTTCGCCAGAAAGGTGATTGAGACGTTTTCAATAGAATTGTCATATGCTAAATCCAGGATGTTTCTTACTCCGTCTTTCAGTAGATTGTTCGTCGATAGGATTCGCACTTTGGTGTCGTAATTGCTCGGCAAATGATTGAATATCGTGGACAAGTAATCATAATCGATTTTGTCGATGAAGACAAAGACGCAGTTCTTGTTCGCATATTCCCGCGATTGAACCATAACCTTAGAATTGGTGCCGACGAAACAAGGTCTGCTCTTAAATAAGGGTGTAGCAGCCCTCAGAAGTTGATTTTTCGGAGTAATGATGCCCATTTGTCTGCTGGGACAGTTCTGCATCAAAAGGCTCTCAGCGTCCATCAGGAATTTCTCAAAGAGTCGTTCCTTCTCATTCCGTTCCAGACCCCAGCTCAGTTTTCTAAGATCTCCCGTTACCACTTTATATAAGTTTAAAAATATAATAACACGAGTAAAACCATGAAGCAAGATCATCCTTGCTTTTTAGAACTGTTCAATCACTTTATAATAATGTATTTATTGTCAGCAAGTTGCAAAGAGCGAAAATCAACTAGCACCACGATGAGCGTTTTAATCGGATTCCTTATAAGAATGTTTCCGTCATTTATCGAAGGTGCTCGATATTCTCGAATGAGTTATAATATAATTCATGGACAGACGCAATAAGAATGCCAGTTGACAATTAAATACGACAAAAATTAAAATATTCAAAGACTTCGTCTTTTCTCCCTGGAGTTTAATCGGTTTATTGAGACAGCGACTAAAGCAAGAATGACGTCACTATCCAAACGAGTGTCACAGTGCAAATGCTTCGACCACTGGAAGTGTTTAACAAGTAAAGTTCAGAGTGAATGGTGCTACAATTTTATACAAATAGGAATTACAAAAAGGAAATACAGTTTGCCTAAAGAGGGCATGCTTTTATGCAAATTACATGATATTACTGCACATTAGATTATGTCTACAGCTGTTTTTGGAGTACAAAAGGTGAAAAATAGAAAATCCGTATAATTTATACTTATCGTTAGTATGTTACTTTCGACGAAATATCAATATGTTATTGGGACAGCTTTATTGCCTAAACGTATTTGCTTTCCGGTAAATTTTTCCGTAATTCAGCATAATGTATTTACACGTACGAAATTGTAAAGTTCTTTTCACTATATTGATTGCAGTGAATTTTACGATTGAGTTTTAATGTAATTACTTCGCATTGCAAATCAAAATTGTAATTTTTAATAGAATAGCAAAGATGGGATGTGCAATGTGGACAGAACACTTTTGCCTGGAATAGTATTTTTTTTTATTGATCCGTTAACGGAGGATCGATCGTCGACTGTGTATTCATGTAAAGTAACTGACCTATCGAGAGATTCCACAGGACTTCGTAAGAAATATGTTGCCGTGGGTTTTAATCATGATACGAGTTATGCACTATTTTTGCTGTTATGAGTACAGCCTTAGGTAAAAATTCTGTTGAAACAATATTTTGACAGAAAGTGCGATTAATTTTGCTGCCCTCCTACGTAGTAGGAAACGACATAGAAGTCAAATATTTCTCTTTTATATAATAGAAATGATTCGCAACTAAGTAAACCGATTACTCGACTCTTGGTCTAAATAAATATCGATGAATTTTTCTAATAGTGCATTATAGGTACTCGAAAAGACATTTTTTCAACATAAAATTGTCGCTCGGTCGATTGTACTACGTTACGAGTCGCGAAATACCTGATATTAAATTACTTGTAATCTTAATTTTTATATTTCGACAGTAAAGAAAATATCAATTCCAATATGAAAGTAACCATGGACAGTGTTATACCCGATAAATAAAGCGTAAAGATTGATCGCAGTTGCGTCAATTTGATTTCTTGTATTGTTACATCAATCTCATGTGCTTTTTGGACATCGACGTTATTACTTTCTCTGTTCCACAAATCGATAAATCCCGCTTGTCGCAATCTTCCAATAATAAAATTTAATTCGGTAGTCAAGACGGAACCCTTACTGACGAGAACTACTTTATGATACGATACAATGCAATGGGCAAAGGTATGAAAATAAACCTCTTCTCCAGACAAAATTAATTTCCGTTTAAAGTATTGCGTCTCTGTAAAATCTCTCACGAAGGCAAAATCCTTTTTACATTTAATCCTTTTAAGCGCGGACACAGTGTCTACAATATGTTCATAATTATCTACCAGATACGATACGTAGGGATATTCTTCCAGTTGCAACTCTAACATAGACAATGTACTGTTACTTCCTCCTGGAATTATTCCTAATCGAACAATGTCTTCGACGCTCTGTATAAGCTGGACATTATTCCTCACGGTCAATATGGAGGCTAAAGACGTCCTGTACGCTACTGTTAGTACCATTGCGTAAAAAATATAAGATAGGCAGTAGATCTTTCCTGGTTGATCAGCTGGTACACGATGAAGTGGAATTCCAAGGGTGGAGCATATCACGTCTAATGCGACACCAATATAGGTCTGTCTTGTCCTGTTATCTGAAAATGAAGAACGTCAAAATATTCGATAGCATATGTATAATGTACGTGATGGGACTATCTTACTTGGATTGATTCTAGGTATGTTGTAGATGAAGACGAAGCTGAATGCAATTGAGAATAGAACGGCGATCCACAGATACACTTTAAATTCTGAGTAGAGGACATCTTCCTTGAAAACTGTTATCAACGGTGTCGTCCAAGTTACACAGCCTTGATCGTAACTCAATGTAAAGTCACTGTATGCGTGTTTCCCTAAATTTGGTAACATTTGCCCGATGGCTATCACGGATTTTCTATTTGCGATATCACCCAGCAGACCAATAACTGTGTTATTTATTTCACCCTCCCACTCTTGTATATCAGGATATTTAACTGCCGCAGTGAAGTTAAGTGTCTCGGCGAATGTTAAAATTAAATTTCCTTCGGGGCCACCTGTAAATTATATCATTATTAACATGAAATTTTCTTATTGTTAACTGTTATCCGTTATGTTGTCAATGCTGATTATTTATCTTACCCAAAATATCCAGGGTACCGTCCGGATTCTCATGTACGGTAATAGTGCTCTTCAAAGACAACGTTGAAATAGGAATTGAACACTTATTCAAATTTCTGGGGGAATCGTCATCGTAATAATACGTTTTTAGTCCCTTGTCGGGACCCCAAATGTATGATAGTCTTATCTCTCTCATGCAATTCCTTGTATAAGGAAATACTTTGAAAGCTTTCAAGTCGTTGTTTTGCAAGAATATAATTGTCACGTTTTCCATTAGCCCGTAACTCGCCAAACTGAAAATATTCTTCATTTCGTCTTCTGATATATCAATCGTCGACACCATATGAATTTTGGTATTGTAATCGCTCGGCAAATAGCTGAGTATCGAGTAATCGTAATAAATTTTATAGCTAAACAGAAAGACGCAGTTCTCGTTTGCATATTCACGCGACTGAACTATAACCTTAGAATTGGTACCAACAAAATAAGGTCTGCCCCTGAAAATTGGTGTTGCAGCTCTCAGAAGTTGATTGTTCGGAGCAATGATGGTCACGTGTCTGCTGGGGCAGTCCTGCATCAAATAGTTCTCAACGTCCAGGAAGAACTTCTCCAAGACTCGTTCCGGCTGATTCTGCTTCAGATCACAGCTAAGTTTTTTAAGATCTCCCGTTACCACTTTATATAAGTTCAAAAATATAATAATACAAGTAAAATATCCATGCGAGAACATGCTTGACTTCTGCTACTGGTCTGCCACCTTTTCTTCCTGGTTTCTCAATTCACTCTGTCAGTTATATCGGAATACCTTAAAAGAGTTTATCTATATCGTATATATACCATATGAGTCATGACGAATACAGAACATGCAAATCCTATTAGAATAATTGTTGACGTTTGAACAGGACAAGAGTCGAAATATTTGAAGAACACTTCTTTTCCCTTCGCGAGATTCAATCCGTTTTATTATTAAATCCAGAATAACATGAATGTCATTGCTGTCAACTCGAGTGTCAATACTGATGGTTGAACAGGTGGTCGCCTTTAACAAATAGAACCCAGGATCGGATGTGCAATTTTACATTTAAAGACGAGTACAGTAAACCAATATCCGTAGGATGGAACGTGGGAATGCATATTGCTTTAATGTCAAGAGCTTTTATTTCAATGGTACGTTATTATTGTATAAAGATGTAAGGTACAATAGGCAATTTTTACTATCCATTATTATTGAAATTGGTTAATTCACAGCTTCAAGGGACTGGAGAGTATAACCTAACCTCAACATGGAATATCGTTATTTATTAGAATGTAATAATACATTCCGGTGCAACGGCAATGTATATTTTTCCAAGTTGCACCTCTTCTTTCCTTGTGTCTGAAGGTAAGATAAGAATTATGTATGTGTCGATGGTCTATTGATCATCGTACTATTGTTTATAACAATTTTAATTCGAGAAAACTTGACAAATATTGTTCTACTTTCCCGAGACGTGATGAACAGAAACAACAAGTGCGTGGCACACGTTCAATGGTCGTACAGGACTTTGCCACCAGATGGCACTAAACATTATTTTTCCTATTCGTCAAGAAGATGAATTTCTTAATTAATTCTCGTAAGATTAGAAAATATTTTATATCAAGGTAGTTGAGTCGATAACTATAGTAGTGCTGGGCTTAGCAGTAAGGTGCCATAGGTTGTCAGCCGTCACCAAATGATGTGCGAGCGAGACGCACGAAGTTTCCATGAGAGGGAATTCAAAGGGAATTGCAATTTCCTTGGTAAATTGATTCGATTGAGTCTTCGCTTAAATCTGTGAAATTTACCCGTAAAAATGACACCGTACATTGGATTTGTCTTATGATTTGATACATCTAAAAAAGTCTCTCCCTCAAAGTCATCGATCCAGCACGTGTACTGTAGTACCTCTGAGATGTAGATACACATACTGAGGCTATGACATCAGGTCCTCTCGCTGCTATCACGCTATACGCTCTCGTTGTGTCGAACTCAACCGGTGGCCATATTCGATCGCTTGCCAAATGCATTTGACAGATCAATAAAAAAAAGTATTATTTTCACATAACAGAAAAAGCATGTAAGTCACCCAGGGACAAATGCACTTGCGGTAATAAAGGATCGTAAAAGTTATACTGATGTTTCCCAGGAAGTGAATATACCAACCTACCATCTCTTGCCCTTCGTGTCACGAAAAACGGCGCAAGCACGTACCAGCCCTCAGTAAATTCATGCCAGTTGCACAAAACTTGTTAGGCTTTGTGCATACAGTCTTCCCTGTTTTTATGTTTATATGTTTCTAATGTGACTCGTTATGGGTATTTTTAAAATCAATATTACACATTCGATTCTGAGCTCCGTCATCTGTGACCAGTGGCACCAGAACTGCACCAGTTGTGTTGATGGTGATAAACACTCGCCTTCTCATAGTAAAGCCTGATAGGATTTCATGAAGACGAAAGGAAGACGTTTTCAAATATTTGAGTTACTGGCATAATCTAAAGTTAACTATTGCTCTTAAATCATCTGTTTATCCTGTACTTATCGTTGCTCGTGTAAAATTCGGTCAATTTTCTGATATAAACAACCGAAGTTCTTTGACATATTTGAACGAGGCAGACATCCTGAATTATAAACCCAGACATAGTAGTGGTAGATAAATTGTGAAAATCAAGCAGGATGTCGCCCGACTGTTTCATATGGGTTACATTATTTCTAAATTTGTACACGGTGGTAACGGGAGATCTTAGAAAACAGAGCTCGGGTCTGGAACGGATGGAGGAGGAACGTCTCTTGGAAAAGTTCCTGATGGACGCTGAGAGCTACTTGATGCAGAACTGCCCCAGCAGACAAACGAGCATCATTGCTCCAAAGAATCAACTTCTGAGAGTTGCTACACCCCTTTTCAAGGGCAGACCTTGTTTCGTCGGCAACAATTCTAAGTTTATGGTTACATCGCGGGAATATGCGAACAAGAACTGTGTCTTCGTTTTCATCGATAGAATCGATTACGATTACTTGTCGACGATATTGAACCACTTGCCGAGTGATTACAACACCAAAGTGCGAATCCTGTCAACAAACAATCTACTAAAAGACGAAGTAAGGAAGATCCTGGATTTGGTACACGACAACTCAATTGAAAACGTCACAGTCGCCTTCCTAGAGAACAACGTATTCAAAGCGTTCCAAATGTACCCTATTACGAGAATTGCAAGAGGAAGGTACCTGCAGTACGCTTGGGTTTCTGACAAGGGACTTAAAACATATTATTATAATGAGTTGATCATTTCCTTCGAAATTTGGGAGGACGTCATGAACGTTCATAAGAATTGGAACGGAACTCTTACTGTTTTGGGTAGGACACAAAGTAAGCGTACACTACATGAAAGAGAATATGCAGGAAAGTTTCGTACTAACAATCATATGATTCCAGCTGGCGTCGATGGAAATTTAATTCTAAGATTTGCTAAAAATTTGAATTTCAGTGCTGCTGTCAAATATCCTGAGATACGAGTTCGGGAGAAGGTAGTGAATAACACTATTGCTGATTTAGTGCATAACGTCGGGATGGATGTAATTAAGTTTAGTCTTATGGCTCCGTATTTGCTATGATGACTTTCCTTCGCTTTTTTATCCAGTTGTAGCCGCAATACTGGGTTCTCAGACGAGCAGAAAGAACAAGAAATATAATAACGCTAGTCACTTTGATCACTGCAACGTCAGAGATGTTAAGCTCTTTTTGAATTCGCAATGTTATCCCTACGGAAATCTGAGTCTTGACATCGATCATAATCAGTTTGCTGTGCTGTATGAGATGTATGCAAACTGTCAAGCTACCTACTATGGCAAGGATCCTGAACCTTTGCTGAAGAAGAATGAATTTCTCGAGTACGCTCCATTAATCGTTATCAATTGCTCCAAACAAAACGAGTCCCTAAAATTTGGACCTGTCGATATTCATCTGGAATCTGAGGGGGAAGCCAATTTCTCTGCCGATGCATCGGCATTCTCCCTGATCCTGTACGATCCTATAGTTGAATACAGCCCGATCAGTGGTGGAGTGAAAAAATGGGTATAAAGAGGCTGCAATTGTCTCACCCTGCGCAGTTCATCAAAATGGAATTCATCGTAGATGTACAAGGTTTCAAGAAACCCTGGAACGAGTTTGTCCTGAAGAAACTATCCATAATTGGACTCGGCAGCAATTTTTTCGAGCCTGCAACGTTTCTGTTTCAACCACCTTGTCGATGGAAATGCTTACCCGCCAAGTACAAGAGTATGAATTTGTGGTTCGAACGCAATTTTCATGGGATCTCTTGGACCTCCGCCGATGCACCTTACAATCACGTTAAGAAAATTCTTCGAGTCATTCTGCAAGATGCCTCCAGGATCTATGTGAAAGGACTGGAAAAAGATCTGGTTGGGAGCTTTTATAGAGCGATCGGAACACATCGCGGTCCTAGGAGATCTAGGGTACCCTTCGTTGTAAAACCTGCACAAAAACTTATTCATCTGCTGTTCACACCATCATGCTTCTCATTTCCAATGTTCGATGGCAAACTTTAAATTGTTAAGAAATTCGATGTTAGAGTGAAGAAGAAGAAGCATTTTTTGATAACGAATAAAGAGACAAAGATATTATAAGTTCTATATTTATTCAACTCGCATACATACTAGTATTAAGATCATACGTATACCTAAACGTTTACAAACATTGAAACTCAATCTAATTGTACTGTCCACCGAGGTAGCGCATCAGAAGCCGATCTTCGTCAGCAGCACGCATCATGTTTTGGAATAAATTGTTTAAGACTTTTGACATCCTCGCTGGTAGAAATGTTGAGAAGCTGTTTTCGTTATCAACGATTAATCTCATTCCATATTTTGTTTGGATCTTTCGAATACAACTAATCTTGTATTCCTTTTGAACCTCTAGCTCTGCCAACTTTTCAGTTGGACGACATGCGTCCAAACAACCCACTTTGTTAATTTTCGAGAAGTTCATTTTTCTTAATGGATCTTCAAACTTTTCACATGGTTATTAACGTCTCTCTTCGTTTCACTTCCTGAAAATGGAGCAGGATCACTTATTTTTTACCGACAATAATAATGCACTTGAAGGTTTGAATAAAATTATCGCTATAAATCATCGAAGGGCCTTTTATACAAAGGTTTCAAGGTTTTTCTGGAATTGTTTTGCATCGGTTCGAGCGATAAGACACCTATCCGAATTGCGCACTTTGAGCTCAAACTCTACATGAAAAAATTTCCGACGTGCATTCGAAAATGCACAAAGGGTCACTTATCTTCTGCGACCAATTCGATACCCTGAATAACAAGACCAAAACAGTGTCCGGCTGCCGCCTGAAGTCTCCATGGGAAGTGAGGGAGTCATCGAAAACTTCAGGACGGCGGCTGCCGTACGAAACCTGCACGACCTGCATGGAGACTTCCTGGAATCGAATGATTGACGAGAGCCGACAAATTTCCTAGAATCGATGCTGCATTCCGGAGGGCTGCATCCTCAATGCGCAAATTCTGCAAGATAACATTCAAGGTCATTTGGCTGTCAGCTGAAGGCTGCTGTCTGAAATCTACACGGGTCAGGGTGGGAAAAAGAGGGTTCATAGAAACTTCAACAAGCTCTTCCGGGGTGGGGGGCCAGGGGCTGCATCAAATCGTCGCGCGAGGGGACCGTCGGCTCTGGGAGTGATCCTCCGCAACTTAGCACGGACACGAACCATCGAAGCTTCTAGAATGTTCTAGAAGGTTCTCGATCCTGTGCGATTTTTAGAATCGCACGCAAAATTCTCGGAATGTGACGCAAAATTCCAGGAAACGAGCGAAAATTTTTGGAAAAGAGGGATCTTGATGACGCAACTTCCGGAAATTGGGGGCGCTCACGTTGCCAACTTAGCACGGACACTCACCTTCGAAAGCTCTCGAATATCGATAAATGTCGGTGCAGGAATCTGTATCCAGAACCAGCACAGCCATACTACTATTATCTAGCTTTAACATGCTTTTCGAGGTAATATTTTTCGCATTGTCCAAGAAGAAAAATTCGAAGTAAAACAATATAATATCGTAGTTGTATTGTAGTGCAAAGAATACTAACATCAGTCCTGCTGCGCAACACAAAATGAATAAATGTATCTATACTGTAGTATTTCATGTTGTAGTAGTAAAATAAAGCTTTCTGATCTTATTAGTGTGCACCCTAATAGGATGTACGTGTATGTTTCGTAATAGGCAGTAGATGGTGTATCGACTTAGTATCGTCATTTTGAGTCGACATTTCAATCACCAATTACAAATGGTCAATCGGTTTGGCGAATATAATGACTCTCCCTTAACAACAAATGTTTCTTTTTCAATCATCCTTTGTACCATACATTTATACACAATAGCAACTAAAATTCTGCTCTGCAGGTACTCCAAACCATCGTTTTCTACATACAATCACATACTCCTTTCCACAGTTGCGAAGTTTCAAGTTCCCTTAATTACGAATCCAAGTCCTTAATACTCGAATTCCAACAGTGATCCTTAAGAAATGTGCCTTCCAATCACGCAGAGATCATGCATCGGCGCAGTCATCACGAGAAGTCACCAAGAACTAATAATGTATAAAATGCAAATTTGTACAGTATCGAATCTAGGAATATGGCAATGAATCTGATAACAACTCCTATATTTTCCATTACGTTAATTGAGTTTCCTTTGTAGGTGTATATTAGAATGCTACAATTAAACAAGAGATGATCGCATTATATTCACACAATACATATCACATCTTGATATTCATTGACCACCCCACGTATTTTATACAGTGATAATATGAAGCCAGTCACAAAGATAAATATTCGATGGACAATGGAGAAGTTTATCACGGTTCAACAATAGACTTTTATCATCGCATAACGGTAAATGGATATCGTTAAGCGACAGAAGCATCCAAGCAAATATTGATTAATTTGAACGATAAATTATCGTAAAAAATATCTTGATCTTACCCAAAAAGCAAACATGCCAATCGACTATTATATTCCAATGTTGTAGCCTACGCTAATCTGTAATAATATTTTCCATTTACCAGATACCATTTACGAACCAGATAGCTGTACCCCAAACTCTATTTTTCTTTTGAATTTATTTCCATGAAATTTGTCTCACTTTCTTTATCACTTATGAGAGAATAGTACTAGTTGTAAGTAATAACAGCGCTGGCATGTGACATTCGCATTAACAGTGACTTCACTCGAACGTCAGTAGTTTTGGCAGTAAATTGAATAAATTTGGCGAAATCGAAAATAAGAAATCTTATAATATTACAATTATCGTCATATTCCAACGTCGATCATTAATCTGTTAATAATTGTATATAGTTTATTTGTCGCAGCTGATTCGCATTGCCTGTTGATTAACCCAAGTAATCAACAGCATACTACAAAACCATCGGGTAAAACAGAGACATAAAGATGGTTACCCAATTTTAGGAGTCGAGGATGATCTGGCTTCGATATTTTATTTGTATCCTTTTATTTTCATACTCTTATACGGTGTTGATACGAAATCCTGAGGTACTCAGTCGGGATCTGGAACGGAATGAGAAGGAACGACTCTTGGAGAAGTTCTTAATGGACGCTAATAGTCATTTGATGCAGAACTGCCCTAGCCGACAAACAAGCATCATCGCTCCAAAGGATCAGCTTCTAAGGGATGCGACCCAGATTTTCAAGAGCAGACCCTTCTTTGTCGGCACCAATTCTGAGGTTATCGTTCAATCGCTTGAATATGCAGAGGAGAACTGCGTCTTCGTCTTTGTCGATACAATCGATTACGATTACTTGTCAACAACATTTAGCCACCTACCGAGCAATTACGACACCAAAGTACACATCACATCGACAACCCATGTACCAGTCGATGAAGTAAATAATATCTTCAATTTGATGTATGAGAAATCATTTGAAAACGTCATATTTACTTTTCTGGATCACAACGTATTCAAAGCGTTCCAAGCGTTTTATTACACGACGCATTGCAGAAGAGAAATAAGAATATCATATGTTTGGCGTCACAACAGTGGACTTGAAAAGTACTATTACCATGACCATTATCCGCGAAATTTAAACAAGTGTTCAGTTCCTATTTCGACGCTGCCCACAAGGGACAGTATCACTATTCGTGAATATTCAAACGGCACTCTACGTATTTTAGGTATGATAAATAACGAAAGTACGATAAACCGACACAGCATTTGATATCCATAGGATATCCCAATTTGGCTGTCGATATCCACAGGATATTCAGCAGATATCCTCAATATGTAAATTGATGTCTATAAGATATCCAAAGTTTCCACTTGTGGATATTCTGCAATTTCTCTGGAAATCCATACATTTTTTAAGTACATATATTAGAAACAATAATGCATCTTAAATATAAAATTATTAGATAACAAGGTCATTAAGTAATTTGTTCTGCGTTGTCATATCTTTAAAAGAATGGAAGTAGTAACGAAAGAACCTTGCTTTCCAGTTTGGGTAACATCTTGTATGTCAAGTTCTACGTTTCATGTGACAGTTTCACTATTCGTTGGCACTAGCGGAATACTATCGGATTGACCAATAGTATAGCTTTGTGAGGTCCTTAATTGGTTACTCTCTAACCATTGATCATTTCCTATTCCGTGTTTCTGCGAGTGCCATGGAGCAGCACGTGTACGTACTAATTGATCTTATGTACTTAGTAATATACTTACTGAAAACTTTTACGGGGGACAGTCGTAGCCCAGTAGTTAAGATAGCAGCGGATTCACGAGCGGAAGGTTCGGGGTTCGCGCCCAGCCCCCAAAATAAAATATGACACACTACTAATGTTTTTGTGAGCTTTATATAATATTTTATTCATGAGACTCACTTTGTAGTATCAGGCTCAATGATTTTTCTATGCCAACAAAAAAAAAGCTTAAATATCCAAAAGTGGGAACTTTGGATATCCTAGGGATATCCATAGGATACTTATAACTGGATATAGATATCCAGTGGATATTCACTTTGGATATTGTGGATATCCTATGGATGTCCTATAGACATAAAATGCTGTGTGGGAAGCTTCATATTAAATACGATCTATTTCAAGGTGGTCTTGAAGGAAATTTAATATTAATGTTTGCCGAGAAACTCAATTTCACTGCTGCTGTTAAGTATCCTGAGATACGAGTGCGCTATGGTACAATGAATGATAATACTACCTTCGGGTTGGTGGGTGATATTGCAAATATAAAATCAAAGATAGCAATCGGAAAATTGATGTGGAGTGTGAAAAGACGTGCACTTAGCGACGCCACGGCAAGTTATAATCACGAGTGTGTAGTGTGGACGATTCCGATTATAACTGCTGCTTCCACGGGAGGTGTCCTTTATTCGGAATTCCACGAGTATCCGTGGGCCGCCATTCTGATGTCTATTATATTCAGCTGCTTCTTTATCCATAGTATATCTAGAATTACATCAGGTAAGAGATCCACATACATATTACACATACATAATCGATCTTTTTTAAATTTTTATTGTTTGCAGGTGACCGCGAAAAAAAAACCTTTATCGAAGTCACATTAGACGTAATATGCTCCACCCTTGGAATTCCACTTCACCGTGTACCGGGTATTCAACCAGCAAAAATCTATTACTTTTTATATATCTTTTACGCAATGGTAGTGACAGTCGCGTACAGGACGTCTTTGGCCTCCATATTGGTCGTGAGGAATAACGTGCAGCTTATAAAGAGCGTCGAAGATATTATTAGATTGGGGTTAATTCCAGGAGGAAACAACAATACGCTGTTCTTGTTAAAGGATCAACAAAAAGAAAATTCTTACATGTCTTATGTGATAAAGCATTATGAAGTTATTCCGGACCTTGCAGATGCACTGGATAGGATTAAGCAAAAAAAAGATTTGGCATATATCAAACACCTTTCGACACTCCAATATTACAAGCGAAATTTAACCTTATCCGGAGAAGAAATACATTTCGACTGGCTGGATTACTGCATTTTATCGTACCATTCTGTAGTTCTGGTTGTAAAGGGTTCAGCATTGACTAAAGAATTAAGTCGTATTATCATAAGATTGAAGGAGTCTGGATTTATCCAGTTATGGAATAGTGCAAATGGAAAGGTCGATACTCGAAATACGTATGTGATTAATACGAAAACAGAAAAGCTCACATTGCCACAACTGCAGTCAATATTTCTATTTTACATATCGGGCATAGTATTGTCCGTGGTGACTGTAATTTTGGAGATAATATTTCATACATTTTTCAGACAACGTCAAATGACACACTAATTGAATATTTAAATTACACTTTAAAGTTTATGTCATAACCACGCAGTACCTGCTGCTTGGAACGTACCTAATCATTTACAATATTTCGATAGATTTTTCTGTTGTACTAAAATTAAGCTTTCTGATTATGTAAGGATGGATGTTTATGTTTCTTAATCATTTAAAAGAGATATATCCAGTTAAAATCGTCATTTTGAATTAACAATTCGGCTATCAATTACAAGTGGTCAACCAATTATTGAACTAGATGAATTCTTCCTTAACAACAAATACATGTCTGTCATATAAGTAATGCTTGACTTTTTGCGTAATAACCACCAGTCGGTTACAAAAGAGACTGATTGTGAGACAAAAAACAGTTCCCGATTAGAGATTTTTTAGAGAGTAACTACAGACTCTGGATCCCATGATGTCCTGGTGACGCCGATCACAATCAAAATGCTGGAGTCTGACTCTCCCTGGAAATTTCTACAGACATTCGATATCGTATACTTACGGCGAACTGTGACTGATTACATAAGGTGTTCCGCCATGAAAAAAGTAACCATTGTCAGTAATTGAGTCTGTATCGTAAGATTGGAAAGTAATAACAAAAAGTTGTTCATGGTGAAACCTCATCGACAAATATACATCGTTTCCTATCTGTGATTTTTCTTTTGGGATGGTAAGTCCGTAATATATGAAATTTACAGAATACAGCAAGAGACATCGTAAGTAAAGATAATACACGTTAATCTTATCGATATAATGAGTAATTTAATTAAAAATTGGATAACAACTAATTACAACAGATTTAAACACTAAATAACAATAGCGGGTGCATTTGTACGCGTTACATTTTTATTGCCTCTGAGTACAGATCTCTTCCCTCTAGAAACGAACACGGCCATGTTTTTTTACGACGAGTTTTCCAAGGACCTGCAATAAAAGCCGAAAACTTTCAAAAGTCTTTCCAATATTAAGCACAATTGCCACCTTCAAATCATGTAGACTCATCTTTATTGCAATTTTGCCAAAGGAATTTTTAGTAGCTAATATCCGTGCTATTGTGACGTACAAATATTCACGGAGAATCAATTATTTCGTACTTCTTTCCATTCCACGTGATTCTAAATTAAATTCTGCCCGCAGCTACGATTTCGTCGAATTCTGCCTCATGCTCTGAAGTTGTCAACATATACTCCGGAAGTGTCACACCCAACTTCTTGTCATACCTTGGTTTAGTAACAGCTTTATAATCATAAGGATCAGCTTCTTTTTGTTCTTCCTCTTCTTCTTCGTTATCTTCTTCCTTAACGTCCTCCTTTTCATCATCTGAATCATCTTCATCGTGATCAGGCTGCTCCCTCTTAACATGCCTTCGACTGGCAGATACTGATGGTTCTTCGTGAACGACTTCAGGACGATCGTACTTGGCCTCTGTCTTCTTAGAAGTGTCTGCCTTTACGTCCTCCTTGATAGGATCCATTTTGAATTCCTTTACTTCCTGATAAGTCAATTTATTATTAGAAGCTTGCGGCGCAGCGACGAACATGCATTCTTCTTTTTGGAAGTTATTTTCATCTGTGCATTGATAACAGGTCATCTGATCTCTCATTATCTTCTTACACTTGGACCGGTCTTCCTTCTGGAACTCTTGCATGTATTTTTCAATTTCCGCCTTCTTAAGGGCAGTATCGTAGTATCCGGGAATTGAATGTTCTGAAGATTTTTCTGCGGCATTTTGTTTCTCCTCGTTATTACTTGTTAGTTGCTCAGAGCGTTTAGGTTTGTCTTCGGTATTCTCAGCAACGTAGGGCTTATCATCCGTTGTAAAGCCGTAACCACTAACATCTGAGAAACTAGGAATGTATGAAGTATGAGGAGAAGACTCTCCTTCAGCGTAAGAGTTTTTGTCCCCAGTGTCCGTAGGGCTGCCGAAGGAGGCTGCTTTGGTGAAAGAGAAAACTTTATCCTTCGGTTTGTACGCGTATGAACATTGTTCGAAATTACCGCCAGTTTTTGGATCAGTGCAAACAGTACAAGTCATCGAGTCCTTCGTTACTTCCTTACAGTCATTACCCTTCTTCGTCTTTGCGGCAATTTTCTCAGACTCTGACTGAACGTATTCTTGACTGGATGGCCCATAAAGATCACTATCATAGCTGTCATACCCTGAATTTGAACCACCCCGTTTGTAATTACTGCTTGGCTTTTCTGAAGATTCTTTATGACTTCCATAACCCTCATAACTTGGAGTGTCATCACTGTATGCAGATGATTTACTAGGTGCAGTCCTACTTTCCTCTGGTTTATTCTTACCATCGTTTTCGGCATGAGGAAAGGCAAAGGTCTTAGACCTAGTAAATTGATAAACCTTGTCATTTGGTTTATGACTGTACGAACATTGCTCGTAATTGCCACCAGTTTTTGGATCCTTGCAGATGGTACAAGTCATTGAATCCTTGACAACCTTCGTGCAACCTGCAGTACTCGCACTCTCTGCAGAACCTTCATCATCGTCTTTCTTATGTGATTGCTGATTATTGGCACTATAATCATAGTAGTCATTCCCTGGATAGGTTCTTTTTTCTTCCTGCGCAGCACTAGGTGAGCTGTATCCCGCATTTTCTGTAGATGATTCTCCTGCACGAGGTGAGGAACTCTGTGCACCACCATGGGTTTCATAATTGTTATTTTTAGTGCTAGACGTCTTTTCAGCCTTATCTGGTTTCTCTAGTGTCTGAGGATTTCCAAAAGAGCTTGACTTAATGTACGAGTAGGCTTTCTCATTGGGCTGAGCAATGTACGAACACTGCTCGTACTTTCCATTAGTTTTTGGATCCTTGCAGATCATGCAGATCATAGAATCCTTAATGACCTTTTCGCAATTCTCAACCTGTTTCTTGTATTCAACTGGCATCTCATCAGTTGCCTCAGGCGTGAAGAACTCCTCGCCAAACATAAACGGTTCACTGAGCTTCCCATCAATACCCGTGATCGGCAATTGCTGGTGTTTCTCCTCTACGTTCGCGGACTCTGCATTAGCGTTGGATCTCCTATATCTGAAGTTCGATGGTATCTCGACATATTTATCTAGTCTGCTAGTAGCCTGAGGCTGAGACACGTACGAACAGTGTTCATAGGTGGCGCCATTCTTTGGGTCCTTACACTTGTAGCACGTCATGGCATTCCGTCTATGACGCTTGTTTCCTGTTGCCGGCACTGTTTTTATCTCCTGACAGAAGGGCACACCCGATTTCAATACAAGCTCCTTATACTTTTCATTGTCCTTGTCAGTTATGGTATAGAAGGGTGAAATAGCTTTTTTAAAGTTCTTATCTTCTTGAGGGACTTTCTTGGTACTTGCTGCGAACAGAGCTTCAGTTGGATTTTCATAATGCGCATGTTGTCCTGCCTCCTGCCCAACATAACCACCCTGATTATGCTCTTCGTAATTTGGTACTACTTCGGAAGACGCCTGACTGTATGGGTTAGTGTAGTCTGTGAAGAACCATGGCTTCTGGTGTGTGTCGCCGTGCGCGTTCCCATGGAAACTGAATGTCTTGTAATGTTGATAATGGAAGTTGGCGCTTGCGGCAGAGATCACTACTGCCAGTGAGATGTACGCCTGTAATATTTATCAAATTATAATCGTTAGGATAAATTACAAGTAACACACTATTATTTGAGTCTAACTGAAAGAACAATGTAATGTCTGAATCATGAAAGTAATTCGTTGATTAAGAAAGTCATCAGGCAATACATCAGTCGTGCGTGAACCGAAGGCATTCACGTGTAACTACTGCGCACGGATAAATTGTGAAATTTCTTACATGTCAAGGTTCATAAAGTAAGAGATTTCAGGTCAATTAAAAAGAAAATTAGTCATTTAAGCTAATTAAATTCTCAACAACTCTTCGCATACGTATTCTTAATTAATAATAATTAATATTATAATGATCATAAAAATTAATAACCAAATATTAATTATTAGCGAACAAATCGTCAATATGAAGGTGTTATAAAAATATTTTTTTCGCATGCCACTAAAAAAAATATATAAGAAATACAACAGCGTGCGGAATCATTTTAACAAGATAGATGAGTGGTCTATTTTTTAATAATACATACGCAACACCTGTCTGAATTCACTCACCTTGCAGAGAGCCATCTTCCAGATGGCAGAATATTCACAGCCTCACTTGAATATAATTTATTTATCCTGATTCAAGTTCCGGTTCGATGATCCACCACACATCCCACGAAATGACTAGGCTTCTCAATGGAATGGCTTTATATTGACTTGGCGAATGAAAGATCGATCCCCACTTCGATAAATTTCATCCCCGGTCGACCGCCGAATTCGACGCGATTCTCCTCTACTAGAAGAGACAAAGATTTGAAGACAACTGAGACGTCTGCAGTGAAACGTTTTAATCTACGCTGCAACCGATCGGTTACCTAAACGGCCTACTTTATGTAATTCTCGTCGTGTATGGAAATGGCAACGGTCCGCAGAATAATTTCGTCGACCCGCGTACCAGTGACGCCTTTGATATTATGAAAGGAGGAACTATGATTGTCCATAATGGCGAAACGATGACGCACTTTTGAAATTGTCACTTTGTTTTGCGCTGCTATTCTTTGGTGTTACAATAGGTATTTACAAGATGATGAATTTTTTATTTTATTTTATAAGTAAATGACCATAATTTCAAAATTAAAGACAGCATTTTCCATTTAATGAAAATGATGATGATAGTAATTGAGAAGATGGACTCGACGTTAGACGTTGATCCTAATTATTTTTATTATTTAAAAATTATCATTATTTTTCCATGGTAATGTATATTGTATTTCATAGAATACTTTCAAAAATTGAATATAGTCATTAGAACTAAATAAGACAGTTGGTGCTTCAATAAAATTAAAAAATGACAAAGAAAAAACAAAAACTACTAATTGATTAAATCATGAATGATTTTATGTGTAATTTAATAAGACATTCATTTTCTTTAATTAACACATCTCTCAAAAATACGACTTATTACGTGGATTAAATAGGAATGAAAGCATGTCATGACATAATGCGATGACTTTTTATTTAATTCGTGAAATACCTTGATTCAGTCTTTGGATGGCGAAGAGAGTTAGTGTATTACTTTCTTCAATACTGTCAAAACATATTTCTCCACCGATACGTAACAAAGAGCATGTAAGTAAAATACAAAAAAAAATGATCAACTATTGTAAATCATTCGCGAATCCTACAAAATGACGAAAGAAAGCGCCTACAGTTCGAAAAATCCAGGAAGCTCTGCTTCGCACAACGATGACTTTCTGCAATCAGCAAAGAGCAAAATCTGCGGCAGATCATTATTGGCACATTGATCAGTATCGAATCAGCAGCAAGGAAAGCGAAACACGGTCCAAGGTGAAAGCGCCGCAGGGCAACGACCGTTCAACACGATTCTCCTGGTATTTTGTTCTTTCCGAATACTTCAGCACATTTACAATAAGTGACCAGTAACAGTCAATAACCACCGTGAGATTTGCCAAAGAAAAATTTGCATGAACGAATTTGTAATTGAAATAAAATCAGCATGGCTAAATACAAAGAGATGCAGAATTCTCTGTAATGCTAAAAATTATTACCTGAATACTAGGCATTTGAAAAAATGTCTTCTTATCCCTCTATGACTATGCTTCGTCATTTTGCTTCCCGGAAGTTGTCATTGAGAAAACTGCAATTGATCTAACAATCAAATCGTCGATGAAGGAATAAAGACTGTCTTGTGGTTGGAACGAGCAATCCAAGTAGCGTAGATCAATTTTCACTTATCGTTGGTGCACAGCAGACGGTTTTCATGGATGATCAATTTTGCGGTGTTTTACTGTAACAAGACTCAATTTTTTAACGAAATTCGCGAGATTTTTACGGAAAGTACGTTTGCTCTGGTGATTGGGTTAGCTGTTTGTTCAATGATGTTTTTGTTTGATCATCTGAAACCTCACACTCTGCGCCATCCACGAAATAATCAGCACGCAAAGACTCTCTGATGCGATTGCGAGAGAATGATTGTCATGATTGAAAGTAGGTTTTTCTGCTATGCTTCATTACTAAATGACTGGCTTGTTACGACTGTTTTTAGTTATTTTATACCTTGGATTACCTGTACCAATGATTACTCTAATCTACGATTGTACGAGTTGGCAACTTGAACACGGAAGATTCGTTACTACACAGATTTAAAAACAAAGAACTCCACGACATTTGCCAATTAGAAGACAAAACTTGTATTAGTCATAGCTTCTATCAGTACTTTGTACTTTGTAAATATTCCTTAGTTTTTAGATTATTTGTTTCCTACAGTGATACTTATAAGTGACTGTATTCAAGAGGCGTATTCAGAATTTGAAAACTACTTGCCTTCATCTTTCAGGTTATTCGGGTTTCTTTGAGCAGGAATGGATGACAATGAACTTCGTGTTTCGTCATACAGATGGCACTGTAGGATCGTGGTTAGAACCATGTTGATAATGAAGAGAGCAGCCTACTGCTTGAAGCATAACAAAGGTAGAGATTGATCCAAAATATCAATTTGTGGTGACTTGAACAGCAGAATTGTCGAGTTACAACACACATGCATTGCACTGGCGTCAAACTAATACTAAGATCTACTTGCAGTAGATCTTATATATTTGGTATTATATTTAAAATCGGTCAACGTTGGACGTGTGATTCATAAAACTTTGACGCTAAAGAATAACCGCAAATGTGTTCCACGAGTAAGTACTCATTAGTCAATATTTACGACGCTTCTTATTGGAATAAATTTCTAAGAGCATTTTTTGTGGACCGTTTTCATTGAATTATTTGAAATAGATGATAACATCATGTGATCACATGATTCATATAATTACTCAGAAAAATGGTAGAAAACTAGGAAACTGTCCATAAAAATCCTGTTTACGCTTGGAGAAGTTTGTACTTTTTCTTTTATTATTACGAAAGCAAACAAAGAAATCAGAAATTATTATTCGTTAATAATCGTCAATAATTACTAAGTTTTAATCCTTAAAAGGAAGGTGTCTAGGATACACCGATATATGAGAGACACGTGTCCTTGGACCAGTTGGTTTCCCAATAAAGGAAACAGTTGGAGCCGGTTTAATTTCTAATTTTCCAAGACTCTTATGTATGTCAGACGTCCTGTAAAATCTTTCGTCCTGTTTTTTATTCTTGTCCTTGTCTCTGCTTTGATCGCGCTGATTTGCTTTACGCTTCCTGAAGTATACGACTTCTCCAGCTAGAGTGATCATTGCTAATGCCAAACCAAAAAGTGTCGCTATGAAAACACCACCTGCAGAAAATATTATTTTTTAATAATTTATGTATATTAATCAGATGATTCGTAAATGATATCACGAACCTAAACTCTCCAAAGTGATGCCCTCATTGTCATCAGAATTTGGACACAATCCTTTGAGTGATTGATTCCAATATTTTGATGCGAGTGATTCGAAATATCGATCTTTTTGAAGATCAAGAATACTGGAAATAAAAGTTTGATTATTACTGAGGGCTAATCAATATTGATGATAAAGATGAATATCTTTGGCTGTAAAATTTTGTATAAAGATCGCGATAAGAATGATGAACAATTTTAAAAATTATTTTTAAAATAATGAACTAACTACGACTAAATAATTTACAGATTTAATTGTACATTTTACTGATCTCTTCTTGAAGATGGCTTCCTTGTTGAACAGCAATTGCATATGGCTGCTCGGAGAAAACTTCGCCGACTTCAGTCAAGTTACAATTTCTTGTCACCTCGTACTTTATTTCCGAAGAATCGTGAATGAAAGCGAACTCGGCATTTTCACTGGCGATTACCTAAAATATTTATAGTATTCAGTTGGATGAAGTACTCGATAATCACGCCCTCATGCTTATACTCATAATCATTGCTTTTGGTCAATTTTAAAAACGAACTTTTTGAAAACCTTCCTCCGCCGATGCTACGGGACCAGCTTGTGTGATGGCTTGAAGTATGTGACCATATTGTTCCTTTATCGGATAGTCCCACACGCGATATTCAATTTGGTCGCTAGTACTGTTTAATGTGATTTCCTTCCAAACGCTGAAAGCATAAATAAGCCATACGAAATTAAATTAAATAAAAAATATACATATTAAAATACTTCTAATTATACATAATCTCTATTAATCTTTTTATACGTACGTATAGAGCTTATCCTCCGCATTTTTCATATTAATAAAATATTGATGAATAGTGGAATTTCGAACAACTGTATAATTTATTCGCGATTGTCGAGCCAGTTGTTCGAGTGATTGTACAGGTGACTACGAAAAAAAAAACTAGCATGAAATATTGATGGAGGGAGTTAAATTAAATTTCTCTTGAATAGATACACAATTTTATAGTCTAAGCTTGAGTACTGTTTAAAAATTATTGAAGGGCTACACCGTTGATTTGGTGATTGGCTACATTTCAGAAACATTGCAACTTGTATTCACACAACTGATATAATTTAAAGGCAGGATGTGACTTGATGTGAGATCAATGTACATTCCTTTTTTCAGTCTGATACTAAAGAAGAAGATTGTCATTGTTACAATAAAATATGGATACCTGCATTCTCTCCACTGTAAGGAAAGCTGCCAAATTGGCAGTAAAAGTAGCCAGCATTAATACAACGAAAAGCCAATAAGCAGCCACCAGGGTTCTGGAAGATAATGCTTTGGGTGCTTCGCCACCGCCTTGTGGTGTGAAGGAAGTTAGAGCAAACCAGAAGCTCTCCTTTAGCGTGAATTCTCTGTGATTAAAGGGAAAGTAAAATACACGAACACTCCACATTATCTATACAGTACCTCGTGCAAGTCTGGTAAATCTATGCAAATCATTAATACATAGAACTCAATAATACAAATATGTACCTGCATGGATACGGATAGAGACGCTTATTATTTCTTGCACTGTATGGTGAATATTTATCTAATAGCCAAATCATTATTCCAGTCAAAGTAAGTGCTCCAACAATACTCAACCAGACCTCGAGCCTCAATACAGTCATGAACTTAAAAAGTGACGTCGCACGTACAGGTTTCCTCATGACTGCATTAATATAAAGAAAAATCAGTAAAGTGTAACTCAAAATTTATCATAAACATATTATTCGTCTTTATACCAATTGAGAGTCCAGATTGTTCAAAATATGGTGCAACGAAATCAATGACTTCTTCGCGTTCAGAAGTCATCGTCAGTGAAGCCACCACAATGTCCGTTTCCTGTCTCATGTCAGATACATAATACTCAAATAGTATTACCATGAATCACAAAAAATTCATATTAATAAAACTCACCCCACGTGACAAATCACCAACTAGTCCGTCCCATTTTCCATTTGGTAATTTCACCCCAAATTCTCCTGACTTAGGAATGACTATTTCGTAATCGAAATTCATTCCTTTTGCAAGTTCGCTTATAAAATCTATGCAATAACCTTCCCAGACTTCTTTACCATTACTGTCTTTTATCGATTCACCTGTAACCGGGTCTCTCCTCAGATTCGACCAAGGGATCGACTGAAAGCATTGATATTAATTAATATTTTTAATGTTTTTCAGTCTGAGAATAAAGCTACTTCGTTGATTTTCTACCTGAGTGGTTCCAACGCGGAAAAATCGTTTTGCCGGTTCTATGGTCTTCCCTGGTAACGTCGTGACTTTCTTTTCGATATTCCAATCGGCAAATTTCTCTAAGCTACCGTTACCATAAGTTTGCAATTCCATTTCTGCTTTATAGGTTATTAATTGAATATCCGGAATATAAAATAGCGTGCCGTTCCCATTAAGTTTCTGTAAGGAAATACAAAAATTCTTAATACAAAAATCATATGCGAATCATATGCTTTTAGGATAGAAATATAATGGTGCACTTACAGCTATTACATTTTTATTGAATAACTCCATAGTAGAGTTATTCCGTGTGATAGTTGAATTTTTATTTTCACAGTGTCCGGATTTTGGTTCCACGTTCGACCCCAGTAATTGCATCTCGTTCGTTATATTAATTATCAAGCTAATCAGATGTCTGAAGTAATGCGGGAAGGGCTATGGTATAAAAGAAAAAGAAATATTTGCTTCAGTAATTGTAATAAGAAAATAAGATTACGCAATTGTCCCTTAGACCGATCAGAGTTATGCAAACAAGGATGAAGTATCTATTTTTTAAATAAATTTATATCAAATAAGACACCTCATAACGATTGAAAAAAAATTTTCCTCCAACTCGTATACGATTCAAATGTATTAGGTAATAGTCTCATTTACAGAGTGTGCAATAGAAATTACTCCGTGAAAATCTCAATGGATCGATTAAACAGTATTTTTTCAAGTTCCATGAAAGACAAAAAGTAAATCATGATAAGAAATTAAAGGGAAAAAAAATACAATTCGACGTTCCGCTTGTCAGAGATGAAGATTAAACGGATGATTCGGCCTTAAGTCTCCCAGAACGCCAATGCTGGTTCTCAAATTCGATAACTGACGCATTAACAATGTTCGGTCGCGGTGACTGAAGATTTACTTGGAAATCATTAGGACAGGTGCACCGTGACTCTCCGATTAATCGGCAACAGCCGTCGACCTCCATCGATAGAATACTAATTGTAACATTCAATTTTAAATCGTTCGATATATATCGGAAGTTCTCATAATTATTGTCCGTAAAGACCAAAATCCAAACACCGTTTCGTTTGACAATGCCGCCATCTAGTGCCTGAAAAATGTTTCAATTATAAAATTATTCTCTTTTAACACATCTCCAGAATTAGCATAGAAGAAAAAATAAGAGAATATGAAAACAGATTGAACGAACTAATGGTATGAATATTAATAATGTAAGAAAATTGACTAAAAAGGTAAATAGACTGGACATCTTATGGAATATAGTGACACGCAAACGTGGGTATCTCGGACCCCTATAAATGGAATTTACTGATTGAAATTCTATGTATACATATATATTTTACGTATCCGAATCGCTAGACACAAAATACGTGGACACGTCTAGTCTATTTATATTTAGTCAACGATAATAATCTCTCGTAAGAAAGCAAAGCTGCCTTACCATCTGAAAGTAATTTTCCATGTTTGAGGTACTAGCGTATATAACGTAATAAGATGGCGAGGGTCTCATATTACGAAACTTGACAGCTGCAGCTTTATTGAAGTTTTCGATTACCACTAAGCGAATTATTGAATTCCCAATGAGATAGTACAGAGCTTGATTCAAGTCTGTAACGACGATTTCAATGTATAACAGCGAAAATAAAAAAAAAAGAGTACTTTAGAAGCCTAAAAACATTTTACGGGCAGGAATGCGCTATAAAAAGGTAATAGCGAAGTTCGTGCAGAGTATAATATTAGATAATGAATTTCTATAATAAGATAAAAATAAAGTATCAGCGTGTTAACTGTATTAGAGGATTCCATGCAAGAAAATTTTTCTTATTTCTTCAATTATATATATATATATTTTTTTCTTCTACCTTACTTTCTATAAGCACCGTAATACCTCTTTCGTCTTCAAAAATTAATGCTGCATCTGTTGCATTTTTTGCCATTAAATAATCATCGACAGCCTGAACAAAAGGTGTTAGAACTCCATCCCCTCGTTTATAGATTATGGACCATTCTTCAGCAATTTTACGAAGTTTATCCCAGCCTGTCCATGTCATGTCCAGTATCAAACTTATCCCATTAAATAATTCGGCACAGACTAAGAGGCAAGAATATTAGAATATAAAATCATAAAATCTGTATATTATTAGAAAAAATTTGTTAATACAAAATTATTTTGATCGGAGCAAGATCTTAGGTTGTGTAAGTAAGTACGGGATAGAGATTTTGGTAAATGTGATTTTAATAGTAATTGACACAAATTTTTAATAATTTATGTTCGTCTGCGAATTGAGTATTAAATTTAATAAAAATATTTTTTTTTTTAAATATATATAATATCTATTGCAATATAAAATGTGTATAAATTCAAAGGACGGTGTCGCGACGCATCGCGATGCAGCGCCTAATAAGATTACCTAACAAGATTACTCTTACCGTAGATTATTACTGTAATTGCATTAATATAAATATATGTAGGTGATCATTAAAATTCGTGTTTTTTTAAAACAACATAGAAAAAATTATTGAAAAATTATAAAAGAACAGCTAGGTGCAATTACAAAAAAAAATAATACATTAATAATATAAAAATTCTACACAAGCCATCGCAAATAATATTTGATCTAGCTTGTACAAATGAGTATTAAACACGAGTGTGAAGTTTGGTACAAACATTTTTGTGACAAATATTGAAAGAAAACGCTGTCTGGCCTTTATTTACGAGAGATGGCACTTTTAACCTGCCTCAAAAATATTTTTTTAATAGGTTTCTCCTTTCTTGAAAATATTTTAGATGCCTATGACGTCAGTATCATAAATGTTTAGGTAATTTTATAGTCATTTGTCCAAAAAGTTATATTTTAAGGTGCCCTCTGGCGACACATTACACGGTATTCTTTGAGCATTTGTTACAAAAACGCTTTTATTCCTGACTCTTCTGATAATTAAAGATTATTTATTAATGAATATTTCCCAAAAATATTTTTCGTGCAAGATTTTCCAGTACGCTGTAAAAAAATGCTCAAAAACACAAAAAACCTTTTTCAAAGCTCTCTTCCACATATTCCCGATTCACCTCGACGGTGGAAACATGAATACTAATAGCTCTGTCTTCAAGATTCTTTTCAGCAAAAGAAACTGCATCATTAAGTAAATTCAACATGAAGGAATCGTCGTTCTCCACCACAATCACTAAAAAAAAAAGGAAGCAGATTAATCGTTTACAAATGAAATTAAAAAATGTATAGTCCAATTAAAGACTGTACAAATTCTCATAAATAAAGTGTCGAGCAAAGAAAGAGGTAAAATAAATTTAAAAATAATAAGTCCATCACTTTGTTACATTAATTATTTTACAGAAAGAAACATATAAAACTCTTTTAACACCACCACCACTGCCAAGCACCCCTGTCAATTGCCATTGACAAGAAATCAGTTGAAACTCGCAAGTATTTGAAAAACGATTTACACGCATCTATCGACTAACGTCAGACTTTGCGACTTACGTAAATTCATTGGAGTTTGTGGGTAAACGCGCACGTAGAAAGTAACGAGGATAAGGAAAAATGTAAGCGTAGCCATCGACATAGCGGGTGACCGAAAAGGACGTGTCCTCGTGGCTTAGGATGGCAAATGGAAATAATAGTTTGTCCTTTACTCAGGTGGATACTGAAGTTGGCAGCAAGGACGCCTGCGCGGCGGAGCATCGCCTGGTTATGAATATTGTATCGGCCAGCCATTAAACCACGACCCTTTCGCAGTTGGTTCGACGCAGTTAGAACTGATGACCCATCAAAAAAGACCTTGAAAGAAAATGACAAGCTTCGGATGATTTATCGGGTCTCTGATTTATGCGATATCCGACGATTTGCCGCGTTGTCGTTTCTGTATGCGAGCCAACGGTAAAACTTGACGGACAATGGCGGGAATTACGAATATCGGTTATTAAAACGTGTGTGGTGTGTTGATTGTATGATTCTTTATGAGTAGATTAATCAAGTTTTCGTTATCAGTTTATACTGGTATATATTCCCTATAAGGGGTGATAGCCGATCAAGAGAAGAAGAAGAAGTTTCGTTGTCCGTTTTAATAATTGTTTTCGGAGATTAGTCGACGCAAGGAAACGGTGAGAAATTTTAATTAAAGTTTTAATTAATTATTATTCTATTCCTGATAGCTGGTACATCACGATTACTGAATATACTCTATCTGCGATAATGAAGTATACACATGATTTTTATAAAATATATTTGGCATTTTTTATTTCTATTATTTTTATTGATTTTTTTATATTCTCCTTCAGTATTTTATCATTGTAGTATGTGATTGAAATTGACAATCGAATCTTTATAATATATCATATGCAACTAATATGCAATATATGTTTATATAATCGATAATATTTGCATATAGTAAGAAAAAACACAAAGTAAAAGATAAATATCAATAACGTTAGTACTTTATATGTTAAAGGATCTAATAATTATGAAACACCCGATACACGTAAAAATTGTGTTCCCGAGAAAGAAATTATAAAATCACCGATACGTAACCGTTACTTCGTATTTGCAAGAAAAATATATACGAATTTTTTTCAAATATTACGTAATTATTAGATATGGTCTTAGTAATCCACATAACGTAATGATTTCTGAAAGATTCCTCTTATTTTGTATTTCAAATATTTACATAGTACATAATATCAACTCACGATTCTTATTCAATTAAGTATATAGCAGCGTGTAGGGCGTATAGGGACCGCAACCTGAACCTACAATCAATTATTGATCAACGCCATCTGTTCAGTCACAACTGAATATTTATTATTTATGAATAAAAGTTCACCCTCTGTCGAGATTGTTATATTCAATATTTGCAATACTCATTTTCATTTCTCTGACTATGTATGTATGTGAATTCGCAAAAAAAGTATATTATTTATACATACAAAAAGCTAAAAATATATTTTTCAAAGAATACTCTCGCACGGAAACTGGTTGCATAAGAATATGCTTTCACGCGACATCAATATTATCTGAATTTTTCAATCAATTTTAATAATGATTAAACCTTCTATTATAGATTGTAATCAAATTGAAGTAGTTACTTGTACAACATGAAACAGTGCTTATTTGCGTTACGTTAAACGATAACATGCAGTTTATTTCTAGATATGAACACAAATAATGGAATAAAAAATTGGTACATCAGATTTATAAATTCCACGCAGTCATTATCATAAACAAAAAATATAACAAACCATCTCTTAAACAAAAAAGATAATGTTACCTCCAATAATACAGTTAATACGTCTCAATACGATTTTATGTAAAATAATACATGTTTTTTGTATTACACTTTACCGTTGTTTTTACACAAATATATATTTTTTTTTCAAAGGCACAGACTCTATTTGCTATACAAAATTAAATCATTCGTCGAATTGTCAGTAATTAAAACCATATTAATTGCTTCACGATAATTAATGTTCAATTAAAATATTATTTGTATACTATAATACTACAATTTTATTTGACAAATAATTAAAGGTGGTCAATATCAATTTGAAATGTACAAAAAACATATTTCATTAATTCATAGAATGATTGTTCAGTACAAACGTACCAACTGAAGTTGGCTCTGTTAGAAATCAAATAAATAAGCTAACTTCACTCGGTGCGTTTGACCTGAATAACTCAGTAGATCGTATAACGAATAAACGTCACGAATCGTCCATTGATATATATAAACATTATATGTATATTCATTTGTTTTACGTGGATATTATATATGTGTGTAGATGATGTATGTACAATTTAATAGCACTGTTGCAGACACATCTTATCCAAGCTTAAGGCATAAGGCATAACAAATATTATATATGCAATATGAAAAAAATCAATATGGCGCCAGGTAAGATGAACGATATAAAGTGACTCTAAAACGTACGTTATATTTTACGCACGCTGTTCTTGGAAGTTCCCATGGGTACAGTTGAATGTACCACGCATTATAATTATCGTGAAATGTTTATTACATGAGTAATGAATCAGCCAGGAATGAACAATAAACTTCTTTTTAATCATCCACTCGAAGCACACCGATAGATAAAGTCAATAAATGACGAAATTATTTATTAAATTACGTATATATACGTTATTTTTATTTACTACAATAAAGTGACTTATTAGTTTTTTTTGTTAACGTTAAAGATACAATATTAAATTTTTAAAGATGAATTCATGTCTTTCAGACACCTCAAGTGCTTTCGTGGGTTATACAGACTATCTTCTGGCCGAGTTTTGTAAAATAAACGATAGATAGATAATTGTCGTATCGATTGGTTCTTATATAGGTATATGTGCCACATATGATATTCTTATCGTCAACATAGATATAGAATAATGCAATCTACAAAAGCATAGTCAACGTCAATCTTCTGCATTTCCTGAAAGCCACAATTTTCTAATCGATAGCAACGTATGCTACTAGGAACATGATATTAAATGCATATACGTATCGAATTTATTGATTTGATTACTACAAATAAGACTATTGTTAAGTGATGTGTCTTGTAAAGTTAAAAAAAAATTTGTTCATTTGATTCAAATTACAATCCATTTTGAATGGACTATTTTGTATTGTTTTTAGGGGGAAAAAATGAGGGTTGGAGTCTGGGAAATCGCAGAGAACACATTAGTGAATGCGACAGACTGACTAGCGACCGTGGTCCGAGGTTGATTAATTTCCATGGTTGAGAAAACAGTGAGGCGACAGTGCGCGGCCACGGGAAATAATAACGTATTGTCGAAGATTGCACTGCAGATGTTTCGCTCAAACAGCAGGTGATGTGATATGCTTCAATAACTTCAAACTATTTCTAGATATTTGACTGACCAACCAATCAGCTTCCTCCGTTCTCATGACAGCGTGGAAGTGTTGGACCTTCCATATATTTCCCCTTAATATATAACTTCATTGTAACTTCATTGTAGAATATTAATAATAACCTATTTTTATTCAATCGAGAAAACGTGTAATCGGGTTATATTCCTGTCCGATAAAATTATTCAGTGCTTATTTTATTTTAGAAGGAGAGGTGGCATTATCTTTTCAATATTAACGAAGTCGATTACTCAATTTACACTTATCGATTGAGCCCATCATTATTTTTGATTACTTATCCTCGTGTCGTGTATAATGTACTACGATGTACTATTTGATATATCATTATAATGTATTTATTGAACAATGAATACATTTAGGTCTAATATATAAATTCAAATATGACAACGCTACTAGCACATCTGGCGGCGTGATGGCGTACTAACAAGTAAACTCGTGCGAAATATCAGACAATGTTGTAGAACGATACGACACTTTGTTGTTCTGTAATAATATTAGTTCTTTTTAAATTTTTATATATTGTAAATAAATGGATATGAAGATTTTCAAAACTTTTAAGGATGCACAAGTACTTTTTGTAAATCTAGTTATAAAAATATACATACTAGTATACCTGGGTCGAAAACTTTTCATAGATCAGATGTTCAAAACGTATAAAATTGGCTTTAAGTATTAACAATTGACAATTTATCAATTAGTAAAATTGAATGGACCGATCTAGTTGAACCCTTAATAAAAAATTGAATTAATAAATCAAACTTATCAGTTGATGTTTTTCATCTTAGCATCACACATCATAAGTAACATACGAATCCGCTAGATGTCGTTACACGTACGTCGTCTGTTTGGCGTTTTCAGTATTCGCCGAACGAAAGATAAATATAAACAAATAGTACCATAATGAACTCTTATATTATCTTCCCCTTTGATTTCATAGTTTGTATTCATAAGTTTTATTTGGAAAATAAGCATTATCTTAATATTATACACGTTCTAAATAAATATCAAATATAACCAAGCGCATCCGATAAAGAAGATCTCTACCAATAAACAATAATTGACTAAGTAACAAACAAAATTTTTCTCCAAATTGTCTTCGTCAATAATATATTTTGCGTGATAAAATGCACTTTCCTAGAATATAAGTGTCTCTTGTGTGGTCACTATATTTTAAGAATATAGCACCACTGACTTTCCGGCTGTGCTGAAGAACGGAAATGTCGAAATGATTTATGATCAATTTCGTATTGCTTTATTTTCTCTGCCTACAACAACCTTTTGATTTTACGAGAATCCGGTAGTAAGTGAAAAAGTATACACAACGCATTTCATCGCCTCACTGAAAAAATTAGTATAACCAAAATATAATCTCATATTTTTACCGTTCCACTTATTAGCAGAGAGTAAACAAACTTGTTAATTATCTTCATTAACACTTGTATTTTTGGCAGATTTAATTGATATATGTATAGTACTATTATCAATACTAGCTTATCTCTACGAATCATCTTATCAGCGTAATAAGAGAACAAAAAAGAAAGGACATCAGGAAAATCAAAGAATTTTGCATGAACCAATCAAATTGAACGATTACAGTTTTCGTAATAAATATTCTAATATAAAAATATTGTACAATTGCGATTGACGCCAGAAGTATAATAATGTAATTGCATATCCATAATACAAGCACGCAAGTGTTAGGAAAATCTGAACAGCAAAATAGTAGTATGTTTTCATTCGTGTTCATTGTTAGTTTCGAAAACAACGGTAGGTTTTGTGAATGAATCGGATAGCTGTTAACAATACACTAATAATGAGTGTAGTAATGGTAATTGCGAAAATACGGATGGTGCATTCGCAAGAGCAGTATAGTTATCATAATTTAATACAAAGTTTCTGAAATTCCATCTACTAAAACGCATCATAATATCCGTCTCGAATAGAGAAATGTATTTTTAGAAAGTTCAGCCGCAAACTTATGTTAGTCACATGAAAAGTGGATTGTGAAATAGAGGTCTGATTCAAGTTGGTAGGTAAATATATGAAAATATATTATAGTGTATTCACCTATCGTCTATAGATACTGATACCCATATTGAAAAATTATATAAATAAGAGGTTCATTTGTTTAACCTTTGAACCATTATAGAGTGAATTCTTGTGACTTAGGATCCAAGCGAAAATGGAAGATTCTAGAAACTTTGTACGCTTATAAGATTATAAAAGTGAAGGAAATCACGAAGAAATTGGAAGAAAGAAAATGGTAGAATAGTGTTGCACTAATAGAAGACTAGAGTAAAGAAGTCTAAGACAAGAGAATCGTAGTTCTGTCGTGGCGGAAGAGAGTGATGGTAGCGCAAAGAGAAGCATGAAAAGAAGTGAATAGAGAGAGAGAGAGAGAGAGAGAGAGGGGGGGGAGATGAGAGACTGAGACAAAAAGTGCCCAGAGTAAGAAAATAAGTAAGAGAAAGAAAGACGAGAGAAAAGAGAGGGAAAGCGAGAAACGAGAAGGAATGGAATTTTATTCAAGAAGTGGTGTAATGCGGGAAGTCGTGCTCGGGGATTTCCGGGGATGATCGGTCGTTTCCGACACGGTCGCCTCCAAGGGCCAAGTCATTCATTCGGTCGAGTGAGAGGGAGTGACATCGGAGAAAGACAAAGAGAACGGCTGCAGAATGGAAGCCGAGAGAAGAGAGTAATATAGCCTAAAACTAAAGTATGAGAGAGAAAGAAATCGCTATACCGATCGAGAGAAGGTAAACGTAAGCAGGCAGTCAGGAACTGAGGCAGCCAGGCAGACAGGCAGACAGGCATGCTGACTGGCTGGCTAACAGTCTGGCAAGCAAGCAAGTAAGCGAATGAACGAGCCAGCAAGCAGGCAAAGCACGCAGGCGGTAGGCAAGCAGCAAACAAGCAAGCAAGGAAGGAAACAGGCAGGCAAGCAGCAGACCGACCGCTCCGTGGAACGCAGCAGCAAAATCGGCAGTAGATGCAGCCAGTTGGCTTAGCGTTGTGCGTTAGTACAGTTCTTTGGGATTTTCATGCTTAGACTTGGTACTGGAACGATTATCGTGTTTAAAATCAATATATAATATTTCAAGCGTCTTTTATGAAAGGGTTGTACAAAGAGTGCGAACGGAAGGACGACAAAATGCTAAGAGAAGGGACGAAGCGCGTGGTGTGCCGCGTCCTGGAGTTTTGTGGCATTAAGAGAGGAGAAGAGAAGAATAGAGAGTGAGTAAGAGAAAGAGGAACACTGGAACGGTGAGTCGTGGCTCAGACAGAAGAGACGGGGTGTACTCCAGCAAGCGGATAACGACGGGAGGACGAGACCAGTGTCTAGTGCTGGCGTGGCTGAGAGAGGATAGGAGAGGTCGCGAGTGAGGGCGGCAGGGTGCGGTGAGGTGAAACGAGACGCAAAGAGAGGAGTGGCTACGACGAGAAAGAGAGAGAGGGTCGAGTGCCGAGAGGAATGAAACGAGGTGAGGTGAGGTTAGGAGAGGTGAAGTGAGGTGCGGTGAGGTGAGGCCAGCCGTGACGAGACGAGACGAGACGAAGCGGGACAGTACGCTACGAGACGGGATCACGAGAGCTGACACGAGACAGGCAAACAGCCTGAACGACCCGATCCGTGTGGGATAAAGTCACTAGCTCTCGAAATACGATAATGCAGTGATTGTTATAGTAAAGAGTAAAGCGAGGTGGAATGAAGAATCGATCGTGGTGCATCGAGATCAGTCGAGCCGATGTAGTAATGGCGCTGATAATTCGCGAGCGGAGTAGTGCGAGCCAGTCGACGACGTTTGGTTATTCACTGGCAGTTTGTGTTTGACAGTGTAGTGCTGTGGCTGTGTGCTTTGGTGAGGGCCCCGGAACGTCCGAGAACATCCTCATATGGAAAAGTCATATCTCCACCTGGCCCCCGTTGACGGTCTCTGCCTTATTCGAATTTCGAATGCATCCCTTTGACGTACACCCACCTCTACTGCGGCACGTTGAATTCACCTAGGGAAGAAAGGAATTTTGTTTTCACTCCTAAACGAGAACTCGACTCGGGACGTACGAAGTGGAGTATAGAATCAGGCGAGTTTTCTCTCCTGCAACATCGTCAAACGGATCTCAAGTCCGAGTGCGTTTTCGTGTGCGTTGTGTGCGCGCGCCTCGAGAGCCGGGAACGGAGTGCGTGCGTTAGTGAAGTCGTGACAACACCGTACCAGAACCCCAACGAATTCTCTTTCTGTCTTACTCCAGTACCCGTGATTTTCTCTCTTTCGTCCACTCTATCCTTCTGCCATTCCGTTTCTCTGTCTCTCTAACTTCTGTCTCACTTTCTCACTCTTTCTGTCATTCTATTTACCACCATCTCTTTCCCTCTCTGGTGCGACTGTTCCGTCTGCTGCGCGACTTTTCACCGGCGTCCGAGTTACTCACGTTCCTCGCGTGTAACACGTTGCTCCTCGGAATTTACACCGATCGCAAAGTCCGCGATTCGTGCGATATTATCCGTTAATAAAAGCAGATACGTGACATAGTAGTGTGGACGACACCGTTCAGAGGAGGAACAAATACCAAAAGACAAGGATGCAGAGGCGCATTGTGAACCAATAATCAGTCAAATCAGAAGCTTGAGGTGATTTTCATATCCACGATAATAAATAGGAGTGTATTTATTCTTTGGCGAAGTAGAGAAGTCTATGCCCATCGTAGTGAGGTTAGGTTAGGTACAGGAACGCTCGCGTCGTCCCGGATTCTAAGTCTTCGATACACGACAACGACAACGACGACGATCACGATTGCAATTACACGACGGTAGCGGCTATCACGACGACGACGAACGCCCTGACGTTCTCCACGTTTACTATCACGGAACCGAAGACATTACGATCACAACGGCGATCACAGCTATCACTGTGATTACTCCGATCGCGGAGAACATCACGCAGACAACGAGAAACAACTTTAAGAAGAGGACACACGAATGCTGATACCCGGTGGAATGTTGGTCGCGGGAACCGCGGCCCATTGCCTTTCCACAGCCGCTGGAATGCTTCGCTTCCTCGCCAGACTTTCAGGTTAGCACCCAACTCTAGTTCACTACTGCTAGCCTAGTACCTAGGATGTATTCTAAAACTCACTGCCAGTACTAAAAGTATCGTCCTGCCTCTGTTTACCTGCTTGCAATTGAGTGAGACACAACCATACCCGCAATGAGTTTTTACAATATACCCCTAGAACGCGACAACACACTTTTCTCTATCGAATTAGAAATGTTCCTCTCTGTATTGCTGTCATGATCTGACTAGACTGCATGACGTGGTACTAAACTAATTGAAAAAGGTATGTTGCAAAGATATTTATAACTTGTAATGGAGAACTTGTAATTTTTTGTATCTTATATGTAATTATTTAAAGGTGCTATGAGGAATCGTATCAGAGTATGGATTATGCATTCTTGTGGATTCGTGTGCTTCATGGTTCTTCGCTTTGCCGTCTCCTTCGATTTCGCACTGCGTCTTCAGAACTACAGAAGCATGAGGAAACGGAGCATGTAGAATCTCGCTGGGTTAGAAAGGCAGTGGCGATTAACAACGTGCGACGCTTTCACGTGATTCGCAATATCTGTGAGGAGATCCTCAAGAATTCTTGTTGGGTATTGTCTAGTTCTTTATATATTGAGGGCAATGTGAGAAACTGTATTAAAATAGTTTATTAAGAGATAGTTATGTTTTTCAATAGCTGCATTTCGATTTCGTAGATGCTTACTTCGTGCAATTTCGAAAATGAAGCTTTCTTCGAATTTCTAATTTTGCCACTGTCTATACTACGTCATCGTTAACTTCTTTCTGTATCTCCTCTCTTATACCTACCGTGCGTAATGTTCCGTTATGATGAATTACAGCCCATCTTTGCTTGGCACAGTTCGTGCACTTTAATCATGCTGTGATTTTAAGTCGATTGTATTTTTCGTAGTCTGCAATAATTTTTGAGTCGAAACGCCAGAGGTAGGACTTTATCTTTAGAAGCGCCACAGACAGTGGTACACGTTTTTTTCTCCCCAACGGAAATAGCTATCATTCTGTGGGCCATAGGATGTACCAAGGATGCAGTACAAAATGTATTTTCGTGTCTACTTATGCATTTAAGATGGGCGAGCAAGAAGGAGTATCTTTGAAAACCGATAATTACTCCGGCCAAAACTTTAAAGAAGTTTTCTCTCTCTCTCCGTTCCGTCCGGTTGGTTTTTTTCGTTTTAATTTGAAAAGTTCCCTGAAACGCCATCGTGAATAACTTGCCCACCGTGCCATCTGTGTGCATCGCATCACAGAGAATCTCCCTGTTGCTCAATAGGTAAATTAAAGAATGAAAGAAACCAATGAATTAAACAATAATTAATTTTTCACTATACTCTAACACAGTGGTACCGATATTCCCGATTATAAAGCATGACGTCAGTAACCCGTGTGCGTAAGGTGTGTCCGTGCGCCTGCCGACTTTTTCTCGTAATGACGAATAACACGGCATAGATACGACTATGAGATAAAATTAAGCGTAAAACTTGTGTATCACATTTTGTGTAGGGATGCAAATACGAAATTCTCACAAAGTACGTAAACTCTGATCGCCGACAGTTTCGTTCGTACAGATTACAGAAAAAATAATAATTTATAAAAAACTTGAATAGTAATCTTGAAATTTTCGCAAGAGCTCAAGATAACGCTTCCACTTTGGACGAAATTCCAACGACGCTAGCTTGTTATCGTGGAGGTTACGATAAAGCTGATTTCTTATTTACCTCTAAGAACTTGAGGTGAATTAATGAATAATTTATGGCTGGACGATACTCCGAAGTCGACTCACCATTAAGACGTTCTGCTCGCGATAGGACTTTCGAAATCGTTAGGACTAGTTATTAGGGATCTAGGGCCGTATGAAATTCAGGGAAAATTCGGACGCACATTTCATACCGTTATACTCTGTATAAGGAGTAATTGGGAGATTGTGTAGGATGCGTGAAGCGTACGATTGACGAAACGAGCCTGTTCGTAATGGAGCATTCTGTATTCCTGCGGTTCGCCGTTAATTGCTCCTTCGTAATTTAATCGATTAAGTAAACTAGCTAATACTACTTAGTAAGTTATACAAATGTGCTGTCATTGGAGAAACGATACTCGCTCGGTGGCCTCTGCGAATTGGCTTAAACCACGAAATTCTCATTATACTACATCGTCTGTACGTCGTAGATACACGTGGTGCATAAGTAATACGGCAAATTTATTTGAACGATAACTGCCTGGAGCTAAAATGTTCTTCCTTGGCAGCCATTACTCTTACTGTAACATGCCTACTTCTTTGTATCCTTCAACCTAACGTTTTATAACCTTGCCGTTTCTCCTTTTGCAATCGTAGCAAATCGATTTCAGGACAGGAGCGTTTAAACCGCAAGTAGGTAGAGAATAGACAGATATAAATATCGTAAGGAAATTTTAAACAACATTACGATAAAAATATATTTAATTACTAAACGCACGCATCTCCGAGCTTTTCTTTTACACAATGAATGTCGCATTGGGTCAGTCGGTACTATGAGACGCGACTCTTTGTTCTAAAGAGTAATTCTCATGGGATGACCTGTACAATACTAGGTGTACCGTTAACATTAGGTTACGCATGCGGAAGTAGACGCGGATGACTCTCTTTGATTCCGCGAAATATCAGCCAGACCAATCCAGCCGTGGTGGATTTTCGCAATACGTTATCTAGATACCGACAATTCTGCACACGTGAAGCGCATAAGCATATATGTATAGTTGTAAGCATAGGTTTTTGTCATTACGCTCAATAGGACATCTGCGATCGCTCTAGATCTCGAATAATGTGCAGGAACAAAAAAAAAACTAGTAGAAACGCGGCCTCGCAATCAATGAGCGTTTTACCGCATTGTACCTATAGATTCTCCATAAAATTCCCCCAGTTGTACATTTATCGTGCGTGTTCATCGCACGCCAGGAAGAATAATCGCAGCGGCATAGCCCCTGTAAAACCTTTTAGGTTATATCCAGTCGCCCTCGCCCCGCTAACCTGACTACGGTATATCTGGCGTATTTAAATAAGGAATGGCATTCGTGCTTTGGCCGAGTAAGTTTCGCGCATCAGGCTCGAATGAAACGATGGCAGCCAGTAATATATCGTCCAAGTCCGATCTCTATCCGGCACGAAACTCTACGCGGCTCTTTGGTATACACTTACTCACGAAGGAAGTAGTAAAATTTAGTTTGAAAAAAAGTCTGTGTCTTGTTCACTTAATTCATTTTATGTGTCTTGCAATGTTGTACAGTCAATGATCAAACATTGAAAGATTGAGAAGTGAAACTGTACGGCACTGCTGGAATACCGCTTACCTGGTGGGATGCAAATGGCGCCGAAACGCCTTGAGAAAATCGGACACTCTCGGCGAGTCAATGCGCCCAGCTAAACGTGCCGATGTAATTGAGAGTCTGCGGCTAACGAGGTTAACAGTTATTGTCGGCACGGCGCAACGATTCCTCCGATCGAATTTGCCTTTGCCGACGAGAGGCCGACGACTAGCGGATTCTCACGGATACGGCGCGATTCGCCATCCGCGTTCTAATTTCGCCTGGTGACGCACGTCTGCGATTTTCCGTCTAGCTCGAAGCGTCTTTAACCCTTTGAGGGTCGTGCTGCGAGACTCTTGACGATTCATGAGACTGAGATGTTTTACGAGTCTCTTTAAAAGTGACTACACACTTGCTTCTGGTGCGCGCTTGCTACAGTTAGTAACGACTGGTATTTTATTGGCAGGGATATCGTTGTTACCTCTCCGGATACGCGAGTCTTGGGATTGACTGATTGTCGGGCTGCTATGTCGATCGAAACACGTATACAAAAATATATTTGACTTTCTTATGCACTTTTCAGTGTTATACTCTATGGCTTCGTTATTCACTGCTTATTCGAGAATATTTTTAACACTGTATGGGAAGACTGTGTTGTCTGTAGGTTTTATGGGAAATACATGCTTTCTGTTAATTTTGGGTTAGAGACGTGTATACGACTTTTTCTTAATTCATCCGATTTTTTTTTAACGGGAGTGTGTGGGTACTCGTTTTAGGATAAAATATCATGCAGACCATATTGGCCTTTTTTAGATTTAATTTGGTGGCGAATACCAATATTGAGACGTAAAGGGCACCAGGGTAATGACCCACCCCTAAGAAGATTTTCTCATAATATTGTAAATAAAAAGGATTTTTCTGATTTAAAGTGAATCGACGAATGCTATGAGTAACAATAAATAATTAGCAATTTTGTAAATTGATTTAAAAAAGGCAAATGATCGCCATAATCCCCCACTGACGTTTAATACCGTACAGGTGATGAGCAATGACGCTTGATAGCAAAATAGATCAGAATAAGAAAAGTTTCTATGACACTGCACTGAGAAAAAATATGGTCAGAGGGGTTCCAAAGGGTTCCGAAAGGACTCAACTATAGTTTATAGTAAACTCAAATTTGTTAAGCTGATCACAATCGTTAGTAATATTTACGACATATTAATACTGTTTGATAATAGTAAAATTGATCAACTTCGTATTTTACTATTTTTATCGTAGATGACAATATCTACTATAGATTGTATAGTTAGATATAACTTTGCCACTCTTGTGATTAACGAAACGATCTAGTTAATTTGACCAGATATACAAGTAAAATTAATATTCTGAACTAATTTTTGATAGTTGCTTTAACAATAAAATATTTGTCAGCAACTGCAAGCTATTTATGTTTTTTTTTTCCACTGCTTGAATAAGTTGTTCGGATATTTCAGTACGAAGGAATATTAAATAGTTTACTTGATTCTAACAATTTATATCGAAGCAGTGCAATGGATTGGACCACTAGGTGCTGTACGTTAATAGCTTTTACCGCTCCTTCGTCTCTTTTTCAGAATTCTGTAACAAATAAAGTTTGCGGCCTATTAGCTCGTTGACTCGCCTGTGCTTGCAGGTATGCCGGTCCCTCTAATGGCCGGTTGCTGTATTAGGATGAATAT